TGGAAGGCAAACAAAATATCGTCCTCTTTCTCGTACAAAGGTTGTCTCGTGTGAAAATTTTTTGTTGTCTTGTTGTTTGGGTAGGCGATGGGCAGGCAATTATGGAAAAATTAGAATTCAGAAAAGTTCCAATCACATAAATCAATCACATTCATGTAAGAGATTCAAATCACATGTAAGTAAAATCGAAATACATATATATACATACCAATCTCTTCCTTTAACCACTTTCGTGCTCTTGCAGGATAATAAAATTTCAAAAGATGATCCGTAGATTTCTTGGAAGGGCATGCACTTTCATTCCCTTTAAAAAAGGTAGGTTTTAACAACACTCCTTCCTGTGATAATGAAATATTTGTCACCTTGAACGACTGATAGGGATGTTGAGTGCTTCGTCCTTTCATTTCGAATTCACGAGGTTGTCGAGTAAAATGCTTAGGATTAAATCTTTCGTTCAATTCCTCATCAGTAATCATCTCTTTCTTTCCTTTTTGAACATCTTTAAGAAATTTGGATTTGGCCTTTCGAGCAGCCTCTTTGGATTCCTTTTCTGCTGCTTGCTTGTTATTATATCTAGTAATTTTCTCAGCCTTGACAAAGTCTTTCACAGCGTTCAATTTAATATCTGCTGGACAATGTTTCAACTCTTGATCCCATAGCCACCTAGTTTGTTTGAATCTCAGGTTGGTTTGGGGATTCTTCAAAATTTTAAAGTAATCGTCTTCTGTGGTGGTAAGGAGTGTTTTTCCCTTGTTTTGCTCTAACATGAAATGAAGGAGACATGCTTCGTTATAAGCATGGTTAGAATTGAAGAAAAATCTTTCAAAGACCTTCTTTTGTTTTGAAGTGAGTTTCAATCTCACTTTCTTTGTTCTCACAAAATAATTGTCTTCGTTTGAGATTGAGAAGGAGGTGAATAATTGTTTCAGCAATTTCTCGATAGTGTCATCAGCTTTTTCCTTTGATTCCGCAGTAGTGGATGAATTGACTCCATTCTCAGCAGTCGTAGATGAACTCACTCCATTCTCAGCAGTAGTAAATGAATTCACTTCATTCTCTGCAGTAGTAGATGAATTCACTTCGTTCACAGCAGTCGTGGATGAACTTACTTCGTTCTCTTGAAGCATTGTTAAAGACTCCTCTAACGCAGATACTTCCTTGAATTCCTGAACAAGCTTCTTCTTTTCTGACCCAAACTTGCGTCCGTTGAACGAGCAGACTGTCCTTTTAAACTTGGAATTTCCACACTTACATGGCGTCTTTTTCCAAGTTTCTGATTTGCTCATTAGTTTTCCTCCAATTAATTCCAAACTCTTGTTGTTGTTTACAATGTAGAAACACCACACTTTTTCTACCAATTCCTTCTTGCTCGGAGGTGGTGATTCTGTGGATGGACATCGTTGGCGAATGGAGAGGGTAAACCAACTTTGGGTCGGTATTTTCGTACCATTTTTGATTTGTTCTGAACGTAGTGAAGGGCAGGAATGTTTCGATTGTAAACAATAAATGAGTTTGGTTGAGCATTCTCAAAAATTTTTATGCTCAAAAAATTTTCTGCATACTCGAGCTTCGTCTCTCATTGCTTTGCTTAGTGACTTTCTTCACCAACCGTTTTGCTCTATCATTGCTCATTGTCCTCATCATCATAATGGCCTCTCAACATCAAGACATCGTACATCAAGATAACAATTCAGACGAGAGTCAATACATGAAATATGTGTTATTATCAGACAACAATTCTACATTGTCGAATTCTCCAACTCATCCAACAAAAACTCCAACAAAGAAAGTTGCTCTTGTCAGACACAAACTAGCTAGCAAGAAGAAAACTACATCTCCATCTGTTAGTGTGAATCGTCATTCACAACAGCCAATTTCTGAACCTGTTATCCAACCAAAAACCCAAACCGATGGTGGAGCATCACAAACACCAGACTACTGGCGCATGCTACTTCTTGAAGCATTCGAGGACAAACTCGGTGGTTCAGGTAACATGTATACAAATGACGAACTTTACAACTTCATCATCAACCAATCCTCTCTCAGCATCACGACCGCCAGTGAGTGGAAAGCTCGAATCAACACTCTTCTTCACAAGTTCGAGCAATTCTTCACGCCTCTAGACTCATCTTACGGCGCCGATAAGATCAAGTCTAAAGGTTATAAAAGAGTGTTGGAAGTTTTACACAAGCTGGCGTGTGTGAGTAAAGCTGCAAGAATGCAACAAGAGTTCAATTTTCAATTCACTCTGGACTCCTTAGAATTATGTGAATTGTTATCTAGACTCTTAATGGTGTTTATTAATGAAGGAACAGAGAATAACTCTTTCGAAGCCGCTGATGATTTCATCTCGGGATACATTGCCACTGATAATTATTTGGAAATGACAGAGAAGGAGAGAGAGAAAATCAGAAAGAGAGTTCAACAAAAACACCAAGAAGATGCTATTAAGAATGTTAACTCATTCGTTCAGAAGTCGATGAATGGTAGACTACGAGGTAATGGACGATATCGTGGCAATGGAAGATATCATCCATACTCAGGACCTCAGAACAACTATCAAAATACCGCGACCCCATCCGGCACCAATAAGCCTCCCTTTCAAAGAAGAAACTATGGTGGAAATCCAAGCAGTAACTCCCAGCAATCTTCTGGAAACAATCTCCTCTGACAAAGAAGAGGTGATTGGAGGACGTCTTCAACGGTTTTCAGATCATTGGAAGCAATGGGGTGCTTCTCAATTCGTCCTCAATATGGTGACACATGGCGTGATCATCAATTCGAACCCCATGTTTTGGAAACACTATCATCAGAGACAATTTACACAAGAAGAGACAATTTGGATCAGACAAGAATTGAGCAAGATGTTCCACCTCAAAATTATAGGTCTGGGCTCTTCACGAACAATATTAAATCCAATCAATGTAGTACCAAAGAAAGGGAAGGACCTGTTTCGATTTATACTGGATTTACGAATGATCAATGGCGGAATAGAAGTGTCTCCCTTCAAAATGGACACTCTACTCAAATGTATGAAGTTTTTCAAGAAAGGAATGTGGGCTGCAAAGATAGATCTCAAAAAGGGTTACTTCCATATCCCTATACACCCAGACTCACATCATCTATTAGGATTCCAATTCGAAGGAATGATTTTCGAATTTCTCTGCCTCCCTTTCGGTCTCGCTCCAGCTCCAATTATTTTCACAAAGATATTCAAAGACATAATCATCGTTTGGAGAAGGAACGGAATGATGGTTTATATTTACATAGACGATATGTTAATACTGGCCTTCTCTCTAGAAGAACTTTGGGACAACATTATGACCATAATTCTCGATCTAATGTTCCTAGGTTGGCTGCTTCAATTAGAAAAATGCATCCTCACACCCACTCAAACAATAGAATTCCTAGGTATAACTCTAGATTTTGTGTCAGGCCGTATGTTAATCCCAACAGACAAAGTAGAAACAGCAATAGATGTATCAAACGAACTTATTCAAGCGGAAAAATCGAGAAAGTTTATAAGTTGCCGATTCGTAGCCAAATTTATTGGCAAAATGGAGTTCTTGACAATAGCCAATCCTTACATCGCACCGTTCTTGCACCGTCTCAGGAAAGATATGCTATCAGTGGTCCAAAAGAGAAGCTGGAAAGCATCTATGAGGATCAACAGAGGAGCCAAGAAGGATCTCGAAACTCTTCAGCAAATTGTGCAAGAGAATACTGGAGTTTGTTTCGAGTTAGATACACCAACCCCAGTCGTCGTCAATTCAGATGCATCCCTTCAAGGTTATGGAATTCATGCAAACTCCAACATTTTGGTGGGCAAGTTCAATCAGACAGACGAAACACAGACTCATATCAATCAGAAAGAGCTTCTTGCGGTTCTCTATTTTTTCCGTCATGCAGATCAACACAACAATTACCCTCAAAATACCTATTTCGAGTTCAGAGGAGACAACACAACAGCACTCAGTTATTTAAGGAAGGGTTACGGAATGTTCGACCATCTGGCCTCCACAGCGAAGGAGATTTGGACAATCCTACTCAAAAGAAAGTGGTCGATTTCCAAAGTTGTTTACATCCCATCCCAACAAAACAATATCGCAGATCGGTTGAGTCGCCTCGGAGATTGGCGCTCCTCAGAAGAACTTCTCGACCTCATTCAACAAGAATTCGGTTACCATACGGTAGACAGATTCGCGACAGCAAGTTCCGCAGTCACAATTCAATTCAACAGTTGGCTAGAGAACGATGCATTTCAGTCTCCGTGGGAAATGGACTCAGTCAACTATTGCGTCCCTCCATTAGGTCTAATTCCACAAACAATAGCACACATCATCAAATCGAAGGCTCGAGGGACATTACTAGTTCCCAATTGGCCCTCCTCACACTGGTTCTCAGTACTGCTGAAGATATCAGAAAAAAGTATAAGTGTTCCAAGAAGTTTGCTTATAATCGAGCCTTATACCGAATTGTTCAACAAATTCGAAAATCTGGAAATGATTGCCTTCAAAGTGAATGGCAAACTGTTTCACAATTAACAGCTTTAAGCGTAATTGTCTCTCTAGCTCCGTCAACCCTTACAGAATATTCAAAAATTTATGGCCTCTTCTCATGGTTTGTAACGGCCTTCGACTTTCAAAAAGAATCCGATTCAGTCTTAGATTATTTTTATGGATATCTTGTTTCTATGAAAAAAGCGTACCTTATTCAGAAAGCAAAAGCAGCCATCCAATTTTTCGCTGATCTTGAAGGATGGCAACTTAAAGTATCGAGTAGATTTGGAAGAGTAGTTAAGGGTTCTACAAAGATTTGGTCGTTAGTGGACAGGAAAAAGATAGTGAGAGACCCCATTCGCTCATATCACATCGCAGATTATATTTCTTCATGCAACCCACAGTCTCCTGAAGAGTGCTTTATTTTTTCTCTCACTTCAGCCATTTTGGTTATTGGTTTTAGATTATTTGCTCGTCCTGGCGAGCTATGTGAATTGAAGTGGTCCGATGTGGAAATGGACAAACCAAAACCGGGGTGGATTAATATTAATCTTGCTGGTCACAAAACGGACTTCTTCTTTAATGATCGACCTCACCCAATAGATCCTGTCCAAGACTCCAACACCTTTTGTCCTGTTCAAATCTTAACGACCTATATGAACCTAGTCAGAAATTTTAAATCTCCGGATTCACCACTTTTTTCATTTAAGGACAACCAATACCTAACTACAACTCAAATCTCAGAATTGATTCGCAATGCAATCAGACAAATTGACAGCACAGTGAAAGTCTCCGGACACAGCTTGAGAATCGGTGCATCCACCGAAATTTCCTCTAAAGGAATGCCTATTGAAGTCAACAAAATTATGGGTCGATGGGTGTCGGATAAGTCGGTACTTAGGTACTCGAGACGAATTGGTTTTGCAGAAAGCGATTTCTCCACCAAACTTTTTAATACTCGGAACTAACCCATTAGTTTTCCTCCAATTAATTCCAAACTCTTGTTGTTTACATTATCGAAACATGATTTGTTCTGAACGTAGTGAAGGGCAGGAATGTTTCGATTGTAAACAATAAATGAGTTTGGTTGAGCATTCTCAAAAATTTTTATGCTCAAAAAATTTTCTGCATACTCGAGCTTCGTCTCTCATTGCTTTGCTTAGTGACTTCCCACCCATCGCACTCCCACCCTTATCATGCTTTCTTAAGCTTTTCAAGTTCCTTTTTCGCTGATCCTTAATGTTCTTGTGGTAAGGAAGGACATTATGAC